GCCTCCAACCCAATAGCGATGGCCTCCAACCTAATAGGGATGGCCTCCAACCCAATAGCGATGGCCTCCAACCTAATAGCGATGGTCTCCAACCTAATAGCGATGGCGTCCAACCTAATAGCGATGGCCTCCAACCAAACCAAGTCAGGGTGTGCAATTGATTGAACCAGAAACACATACATGGACCTTGCAAATAGAGCATGACTCTGGAGCGGCCACCTCTGGCCCCCCTGACCCCACCCAAAAGGATGCAAAAAAGTTGCCAGTGCACCGGGTGACCAAGTGCATTTGTGTTATACACGTTGTGCATGTTACATGTATGTGTGGTTTTCAAGCTTTTTTGGTTCTGCTGCGCTCGTGTCCAGGATCTACGACATGTTGACCTCTATTAATCTATCCCAAACGCTCCATGGTGGTGCAAATATGGCCGACATTGCAGCATTCACCACACAACACCATCACAAACCCATCAGTATCCATCAGTCATGTAGGACTATTTTTTGCAGCCGCATGGAGCGTTGGCTTCCGACCTCCCGACCTCATAAGAAGCAACCGAGAGATGCCAACGCGACCTGCAAACCTCATGATCCTTTGGTGACTTCATGGGAATTAGGATGCCAATCCCAAACACTCCATGTATGAGATACTCAATGTTTACATGGAGTGTCTGGGAATGGTTCGTCAGTGGGAAGAAAAGGCTTCACGTGCTTGACAACTTCCTGGAATGTGTTCCATGTATTTCATGTATTTAACATACAAATTCCTTCACAACTGCCGAATGTGTTCCATTTCGGGCCAAAAGTCGAACTCTTCGACCGATGTCTGAAGCTGACGTTGAGCGGACCGATGTTACAACTGTACCGGTCCAAGCGACTCTAACGTCTAACGTCTTGGACCGGATCGTGGTGGACCCGGTGGAGCTTGAAAGGGAACCGAGTCATCGCATCGAACCGGGACCGACTCCCTCCGCACGAAAACCAGCTTCCCCACAGCCACAGCCACTTCTCCCCCAACAACCGCCGCGGAAAAAGACCCAAACCCACCCACCCACTCACCCACGTGTGCCGCGTGATTTATAGGTCCCATCCTTTCCGGCCTGGTGTCCGTGGCAGCACCGAAGCCTTTGGCCGCAACTGACACCGGACGTTCACCTCGGGCCCTTCACCTCGGGTCGTTCGGACGTCGTCACCGGTGGTTTCGCGCTGTCACCGGTGCGAACCAAACGGTCGTCCAGGACCTGGCGGACCTCGCGTGCGGGGGTTCATGTTTGTCCTCGTCCGAGTTCGGAGATCCGGCTGCCCGGAGGAGCGAACGACGCTGTCGTTGCATCCGGACAACAACGGATTTGATAGATTGGCGCCATGGAGGGCGGAGCGGTGATTTAACACCACCCCACAACAAAGGAGTGTGATGAGAGCCCACGACAGGAGCAGGCTTGTCACACAAGAATGAAGTCCAGCGGAGTAGCGTTTATATGAATGCTGTTCCAGAGTTTGTTTGCTCTCTTGTAGTGGGATATATAATGGGCAAAGCAGGTCTTCTCCGCTGTTCAACCGACAGCAACAGGACGCGGAGGCATGTGCTTACATTTGCTGCATGATGCTTTCACTGATGCTGTTTGATTCTGCCTACCATGCAAAGAGAATATGGTCAATTCATCCCGTATCAACTCCACAAATATATCCCTGAACTGAGCACCCCAAACAGCACACACAAGCATCTCCATATCCATACCCTCTATAAGTGTCACATGAGGTCTGCCATGTTGATGTTTTCGTGTGTCGACCCCTGTCGGGTCGGGTCTCGCAGATCTCCTTTGTATCATCCAGGCATTTCAGAAAACTGCAAATCACACATTGTGGGCGCTTCAAAGTGTGGGCGCATCAATTGTCTATGTGCAAGATCAAGGGCAACGCCAGAACCGGCCCACAACTGGTCGACAAATGGTAGGTCAAACCCCCGTCGGGGACCAAAAAGGCGTGAACTAAATGTAGTAACCATCCGAGCAACCACTCGTGTGTTGCCCACACGATGGATGTAGCATACAAGGCAACAATCCGCAACAATTATACTGCAATAATTGGCATAAGGCATCCTCAAAATCTCCGCAACAATCACCCAAGATCATCCGGAGCTTGCATGTCGCTCTGATATCCTTGAGAAGGGACCCTCAAGCATACAGCATAGGACATGTTTTTTGTAAGTGACAGATTGGTGAGGCAATTCTTTCTTGGATGTCTCCATCACGGGAACACAGGTGGACAAGTTCTAGATTCGAGATTGTTTGATGGATCGCGAGAAAAGGACTGCAGAAAGTTGCCGACACATCCCTGGCATTTTGTCAGGAACTTCGACGTCTTCTTGTTGCTTAGGTGAACGTTGGAGGTCAGTTGGGATCTGTCAGATTGATTTGCAATGCTAAGCAGTTCAGCAATTTGAGACCTGGCTCCCTGGCGCCGCCCGAGCGACATCTGCGACGGACCATCCCAAAAAAGCAAACAAAAGAACATGTATTTGGGTTTGTCTCAGAATGATGGAGAGCACAAGCACAAGAGCATCAGCAAAGTGACTTTGCCGATGTACTTTTTAGGACCGGTTTCCTCAACATGTCCGTGGACCCTTCAAAGTAAGACCGGGGACCTTGCAGGGTTCGTTCAACCTGTGGTACGTGGTGAGCCAATGGAGACAAACCCACGCTGCAAGCAACGCAGCTTCACGTACTGCAATGCTGAATGAATTCTCTTGAAAGGGGAAGGAACCTCTACAAAGTTGTAGAGAGTCAGAAACGAAGACCACGGATATCCATGGATTTTTTCTCTGCGACCTTGGATAGGTGTAGCTTACAATACCGATCACAGCGACAACTAGTGACAACAGCAAGGCTTTGACACACGTTATAGCAGTGGCTTGCATTGTTCAAACCTGGTTTGCCACACTGTGCATTCCACAAGTGATCCTTAATGCCCTCCCTACTACTGTCCCGAACAACGATCAAAATGAATGAAACCGCCTGCAGAAAGAACCATTGTTGCCGCCACCTTTGCTGAAGTGCCCCAGATTGGTCCTTTTCCCTTATATATATATATATATTTTTTGACCAAGCCATCTTGTCATTCAGAATTGGGTAGCGACTCCCCGGATGGCAATGTTTCGCCCTGAAGTGGCCGAAGATGGGTCAGAAGTGAGATCGTAGCAGCTAGGTCAAGAATTACACAAACAAAAATAAATGGAAAAGGGTTCATAAGGGTTCATATTGTTGTATGCGGTTTGCCCAGGGCACTCCTTCTTGGCACCCCAAAGGACCCTTCAAGGAAAACATGCAAAAATACATCCCGAAAGTCACCAGTAGGGTGACTCGGTCCATGTCTCCATGGCATCCGTCTCAGCATAGGTGCCTGGTTTGGCTCTCAAGCACATGAATTGTGTTCCACATTCATCTGCACCTACTGAATTGCACATCGAAGGTGAACAAACCTTAACCTTCCTGTACATGTGCCGATGTTGGGAAGCACTACTGGCTACCAGTCTCCAATCCATCAACGGAAGTGGTGATCCTCAATCGCCTGGGTCAGCAAACCTCACACTCAGGATTTCCCCCATTTCTGAGATGGGTCTTCTAGGTTCGCTGCCACATGGATCGAACCAAAACCTCGGCCACCCCGACATTGGATGTGTGGAACCCACATGCTTCGATGGTTCTTTTCCAGGAAAACACCACTCTAGTGATCTCATACCTGTGCTCTCATGTCTAGCGTCACACTTGTCAAACAAAACACATGTTCCAACCACAACAACATGTGGTTGCTGAGGGGCCCCTGGGGGCAGCTTCTACTCAATGCAAAAAATCATACCAGAAACGTCCAAAGGGTGTCCAATCAACTACCCTACACTGCTTAGGGTTCTCCAGTGGACACCCATTGGATGGTCCAGGCAGAAGGAAACTAGTAGGAGACAAGCTGAGCCAAATAAACCTGTAAACAACATATTTTATCCACTGACTATAAATAGCGAATTCATAATGCCTCTTGGCATGTAGCAATCCCGTTCAACTCCTTACCCCACAAGGCTTGCCTAGGTTTGCACCCTGGCCCGTGGATGCTGGAAAATGAACATCTCCAAAATACAGAAAGCGTCAAATTGGATGAAAATCAACAAATCCACCGTTCGGAACATCTCGGTCCATGTTTTGTGGTCCATGTCATGAGCTCCCTGGAGTCTGTCGGATCTTGATGTTTGAGACCAACGAAGTGACCATGGACGGCAATAAGTAGAACGAATAGCTCAGGACGATGAAATACGGCGAACACCACCGATGATGGAAACACCATCGCAAGCATTGTTGGAATATGTTGGAATTCTTTGGCACTTGAGCCATGCAGGCATGCAACACCGAGAGATCGTCTCAGGATATTGCTTGAATCTTACAATCTGCTTGTCTACAGAACTGATAGAAAACACAAATCCTCCCCTAGTCAGCTTGCTGGCTTTGTACATGTCTTCGTGCAGTGCATGATTCACTCGCATGCTTTCTTCGATGTCATAGCTCTCACAGACTCCTCAAAATCCATGGAACAACGGCTTCTTTTTAGCCAGCGAGAAGGTTTGAGACATGTCCGTCGAGAGAGAAAAGGCGGAGGCAGAGGACGAAGTTGATCAATGCTGACATGACGAAGTGGGTGTTCTTCAGTCTGACTGGGCAGGTGAGCCATGAAAACTAGTAACTAGATGACAGGGTGTAGATGCAGTGTATCAATGTTGCTGTGGAGGCTTGAAGGCTTGGTTTCTACATTTTTCGGGGCGCTTGCCTGCCATCCCCTGCCCACTAAATCCAGGAATGCCAGCACCCCGGCGACAAAATCCTCAAGCAACGTGTCACCCGTTGGCTCCATTTGGCCCATTGTGTGGGCAGGGTATAGTAAGGTTGATGTGTGGCAAAAATGGAAAAAACGGGTCTGAACTGAACGGTCGGACAAAAAAAAACTTCGCGTGTTGGTCGTTTGAACTGCGAGAACACAGGTCTGGATATATTAGACCAAACTAATCCTTCACTGAGCACACAGTTGATGTGTCCAGAAAATCCTTCGAACTTTTTGATGCTCCTCCATCTCAAACGCTCATGTTGTAAAAAACTCCAGCATGATTCCCACAGAATGATATATAAATCGATCCGTTTGTTGAGGCTTTGAAGTATCAAACGCTCTTTGCTAGAACAAATTCGGATAAACCATTCATGACCACATCCTGCATGACCACATCGCATTTCGCACGTTGCTGAACTGTGTGGAAGTTCAGGACTGTGAGACGTGCACCTGAAAACTGCTCAAAGAATTCCACCAACATTGGAAAACCATCTCGGGCCTCTCACCGACAGCATCGGCAACATTGGGCATGGCGCCAACGAACTGTGGCGGATTGACCCCATGAAACACTCAGCAGTGCTGCTGGACGGACCACACTGGGTCAAGGGCGACGCGAAACAACAGGACCTGGTTCCACTCTAAAATGAAGGCTACAAAGTTTCAAAACACATTTTTGTGAACATAAATGTTATCAACCATCTTGCCGCGCCGCTGCCCTGCAATGCCGTTTGCTTAGAAAAAACTCAACGAACTTCAAAGGCACCCGCTGATGGACACTGACATAACTCGAACAAAGGCTTGGGTATTTTTAAGTTATCTTTCAGCCAGTCTACTCTACTGAGTACTTGAATGAACAGATGCAGTTGGCCATTGAAATCACCGGAATCCCCCAACCGATGGATCGTCAGGTCTCATGTACTTGAACCCGGAGACTCATCCGTCACCTGGAGCCTGTCCCTGAGAAGATAAACCTGACTGAAACTGCAGTGTTGAAAAAACACAAAAAATGGATTGTATTTTTATTTAAAAGCATCTCCATGGAATGCTCATCCATCCTACACCAATCCTACATTAAAATAGATTTTGTTGCGCTTCCAACTCTTACCTAGGACGACAAAATCCTCGGACAAATGACCCGTTTCACAAAAAAGGGACCCCCGATCGACCGACTAGATTCCAACTTCGGGTCTGTCTAATTGCTGTCTATTGTTCACATTCTTCAATCACAACCATATATGGGAAAGAGAACTTGATGTGTTGCCGGTCGGTCAGACTTCCATGCAGGGGTGCAAAAACACTGCTTTTC